TTAGTAAAAAGCTGTAATTTTGATATTACAAACGGACACTTCACCGATCGATCACTTGCTTAAACAAAACAAAGCAATCTTTTGTAACTTTGAATTTAAGGTTGGCTGCGCATTATAAGAAATTTTCTGTCAAAAAATTGCACGTACATTTGTGCTAGACCCCGCAAGTTTAATTTGCCAGAATGTCGGAAGGCGCGCTCTACATTTTGTACTAGACGCAGCACACCGTCACAAATTCCGAGAGTGTAGCCCTGTGATGCAGACGTATTGGGAGGATAAGATTGACAAACATTTGAATTGAATTATTATTTGAACTAAGGAGGTGAAAAAATATAAATGACTATGGAATATCGGTGATATATAGGATTGCCGGAACAAAATATCTAATATTGTTTGGGGTGTGTATTGTCTGACAAAATCTAGACAAAAATTTTGTCTGTCTGTCTGCCTGCCTGTCTGTCTGTTTGTTCCGGCTAATCTCCGTAATGGCAGGAATGATTTTGACGGGAGTTTCACTGACAGATAGCTGATATTATAAGGAGTAACTTAGGATACTTTTATTTTAGAAATTGAATTAGGGTCCCGCGTAAAAAAATTAAGCCCATGAAATCGTAGTAAATTCCACGCGCGCAAAGTCGCGAGAGACGCTAGTCTTTTATAAAATGTGCGGTTGGCTAAATGAGATTCAGGTTTCTTTTTAAAATACGAAATTCTTGAGTTCAGTTTCTTGATCATGTGGTTTATTCCAAAACATATGGTAAACGTTTTTTAATGTTACACTTATTTTATTTTAATGCTTATGTAATTTACTTTAATCTAAAATTAATGTCTTTTGCCTAAATTATTTAAGATTTTTGTTCTTCTATTTAAAAGATAATTAACAGAAATGCTAAGATAATACTTTTATAATGATTTTTTCAATTTACACTAATACTACACATTAAATGAAACTAATTTTAATGGATTTTATCGCGTTTAATTTAAATTTTTAATTCTGAAGGTGGCCGGGTTAACTAAGACATCGGGACGTCAAACACCTCAGTCCCCCCCCGTGACCATGGGTGCTGTAAAGTACCCGAAACGTCGTGAATGAAAAAGTTAAATTAAACGCGATAAAATCCGTTAAAACCTGTTTTCATTGAAATACTTTTATTTTTCAAAAAATCGCAGAAAAATATGCCATTAATTGCTCTACATTACACTATTTTTCAGAAACCCTATATCTATGAGAGGAGTTTATTGAGTTTTCTCCATACCGCACGCTGTGTAGATTATGGAACTTTTGTCTGTAGTCAAAAATGTATATTTTGAACGTCATATTATAAAAAAGTATTGTTATCATAAGGGCCCTATACGATTCTCCAGCATTAGATTTGATTGAGAGCCGACTGACAGATAATCAATTAACAATATAAATAAATAAATACTCCCACAAATAGCGGAAAGAAGTGCATCATAATCTGTCTGTAAACTAGATAAAATGACTTACTAGAACAATAAGTGCCAATGAATGTTATATGAGTATTGAATGTTAAAACGAAGAATATCTACGTTAATATCTAAAAGATTCTCTCGTTCATTAGCCCTTCCTTTAAGCTAGACATGCGCCTCTTCTGTTGTTTGATAGAAGTATCTTAAGCTTCACGTTCGATGGGTGATTAATAAACGTAGTAGACGTTTCGCACATATAATGCTGTGCTAAGTTGCCCATCGCTAGTTTCAGTATTTCACGTTTGACATAAATGAAATAGCTATACCGCAATCTATCGGATGCGAAGAGATCATTCTGGCATTTGCCATAGGATACCCCCGGGACCAATGGGCTCATGTATTTGTTTTATGCCGCCGCCACACGGCTACTAAAAGATCTACTTGAAAGTTAATGATACTTCACGCAATAATGTCGACAATGCCGCAGTGACACTAAATATTCGAAAAACAAATCAAAATTCAAAAAACTTTATTTCTACAAAAAATATTACAATAAATGTTTCATCGAATCCATAGGCACGCAAAGTACTGTAAACCGTGTTTCAGGAGCCAGTGGCTTCTAATTGGTATATATTATACAAATATAATATTTTACGAAACATTAATCACAATTTATTTTCAGCGGAAACTACATAGGCGAGACGCCGTATAAAATCGGCCGAAATACGAGTAATTTCCTCAAATGTGGCACCGAAGACTGCAGTCGTCCTTACGGCGACAAATGTTGATATTTACCATCGCTACATTCCATGTTTAATGTTTATTGTTTTACATAACTAAGTATTTATCAAATATTGTAATTTTACTGACTGCGTATGTTTTTTGTGTTTGTCATAACTATTTTATCTTCGTTGGTTAGTACATGTTGTTAATATAAATAGCTACAATAACAAGCCATTAATTAAAACAGTAATTAAAAAACCCGACTGCGTTAAATACTTTACTGAAAAAAACCTTTCCATCCCTTTTTCTTGTATTTGTGCTACGCGGCAGCTTTTGCTATTGCACGTATGGGCCGGCTCAAGCCGGGTTGGTACCACGACCTCTGGTGGTCTGGTGAGTGCAGGTGGTCGGCGGCCCAAATCACCCCCCCCCCATCAATATGGTAGCGGAGTTAAATGCAAGACTACCCCAGGAGGGTACCAGCACACCTGGAGAACCTCCCGCTGAGCATTCACAACCAAGCTATTCCACTTCACCATCCACGCGGTGCAGGTGTCCTCTCCTGCTGATATTTCGTATCTTTCCTACCCGGGGTATAAATTAGAACACTCCTGTGGGCCTTGGGCTGGAGTTTGCGTATACGTCAGAAAGGACATCTGTTCTAGACGCATCGGCAGTCTTAAAGGTTCGGACCTGCCTATCCTCTGGCTACGAGTAGACAGTGACGACCATCCACGCGTCTCCGGGTGCCTCCATAGGTCCCATAACGGTAATGCCGAAACAGACCGACTCATCGACCACGTCCAAATGGCTACAGATTCCTTGCAACAACAGGTCCCATCCGCAGAGATCGTGATCCTTGGCGATTAACGCCCACCATACCGAGTGGCTCGGTTTTTTTTAATAGGATAAGGGTGGCAAACGAGCACACAGTCCACCTGATGGTAAGTGTTTGCTGTGGCCCATAGACATCTACATCTATCTTCGATTAAGTATCAAAATGCAGATGCGTTGTCACCCGTGAGGACTAAGATGGAATGCCTCGTTTCCAGTAAAAGGGTCTCCGGTTCTCTACACTCATCATACGAAACACAGCAGAAATATGTAACATGTCATGAAAATTCTCTTTCTGCACTAATTTTATAAGAAAAATAGAGGTATCAGTGAAATAAAACGTATCCATGCTTTTGTATGGCCTGGTAAGAGTGTAAATTATAAAAATGGAAGCCGCGGGTCGACAAGAAAGTGATTACAGTCAGGTAATTGAGACTCTTATTGAAACCTTTGGAGAAATGGTAAGCGAAGATGTGGTACACGCAGTTGTCGAAAATTGTGGTGGTAATTTGAATGAATCTACCAACGCAATTATGAGTTTGACACATGATAGTAAAACCCATGTATTATCAAGCAACACAAAACATAATAGCAATATTGAACAGCACCCAAATTTGAATATGGATGGTAATAGTATGAAGGATATGGGAGAAATTTCGGAAATGAAATGTTATAGTGAAACTATAAATAAATATGAGGTTGCTGATAAACAGAACAGAATTAAGAAATCATCAAATTTAACGACTGAAGCTGATGTTCAACCTTCAATAAGTTATGCTAGAGCATCACAAGATGAGGCTCTACAAGCAGAAAAACGTAAACAATCGCGAAGCACGGGTTTCTACCGTCTGGAGTCGCTAGAGCTAAAAATTGCCCCATATTTTCGCAAGTACCGACAAGTTCCGGCAATAAGACGTTCAACGCGTATTTTCAAATTGTAGCAGCTGATTTCCCAATATGATGCCTCCTGAAATGTCCTGTCCAATAATCTCCCCAATAACAACTCTCTTCCACCACTTGCTACGCCACTGAGTGTGCACTTTTGTTTATAGAATGAATATATAAGATTGTGATAAAAGAGGAATGGCGATAAGTAATGATGAAGTCAGCTACACTTTAAACAATGGTTAAAAAATTGATTTGTTCGCTTTATTTCCTGAGCATGAATTACGCATATATAAAGTTATTATGAATGGTTTTGCTTGATTATAGTTCGTCGTATTTTTAAATAAATATTTCTTTTTATATTCGAGCTATGGCTTGAATTTGAAATTATTAAAAAAATATATATTAAGGGCTGCACAAACGTGGACACTTTTTGCTATCAACACGGCACACCATCACAGGAAACCGTAGTTGCTGACGGCTTAAACTTTCCAGTTACTACACCGAACTCTTTTTGATTGGCGGTCGGTATGTGTTAGGTGAAAGCAACTGAATACAAAAAGTATCTGCGTCTGCGCAAAGAATGGCTGATTTCATATTGATTACATGAAAATAAAATATTCATTGGTAGCTTGTGTCCCACACAAGACACAGAAGTGTCTAGGTTAGCGCAGCGCCTGAGGTAAACTGGTTGAGGTAGTATTTTCTTGTATTTATTTATGAAATCAAATTACTGTTTTTTTTAAAGATGCAATTGGGAGGATATTTGCCATAGTAGTCACGTTTGACGGGCGGGATGACATCCTCAGTTTTTTTTAATTTGTGTTGATATCAGGAAGATGCAGCTGCTCATATCCTGTTTTAGTTTTTCTCTGCCAACTCTTACGATTACAACACGGCAAACGTATTGTTTATAAGCTTGTAATAATTGTATATCACCTCGTTGTCACTAACCCTAAATACCTACGGCGATGGCTTGATACTCATCAGCGCACAAGTCAATATAGGTAGTTCTTTTTAAAACCAGATCTAATAAAAAGTAAGTATTTAATTGCAAGCACTGCACGTACAAATCTCAGTCACCGTTTTACTGGCGTTCATTAGACATCGTTTGACAATAAATAACAATGAGTCTTAAACTGCTCTTTGTATTCGTTTTTTGCGGCGTATCGCAGTCCAAATGTAAGAAACAGTTCACACTATCGTTGTGTTCTTAACGAAATGTTTTTGTTTCAATTATTTTGTTGTTTTTGACGTTTCAGTGATAAATTTGTCGTGTAACCAAATTCGTGCCTTTGTTGATGGACATAACTCTCGAAGACTACAGTTAGCAAAAGGAGAAGTGTCTGGGCAACCCGCTGCTTCGGATATGAAATTTATGGTCAGTCTGTTTTCTGCCGACTTCCAAAAAGGAGACGGTACTCAATTCGACTGTATGTTTTTTTATGTGTGTTACCTCATAACTTTTTACTGGGTGAACCGTTTCGATGATTCTTTTTTTATTTGAATGCTGATACTTGATCAAGGTCAAACCAATAGTTTTTGAGTTATTGTTAATAACTTATATTGAAGTCGGCTGTACAAAATTTTTAAATTTAAATTATCATTTTAATGTTTTTATCATACATTTTTAAATTGATTTTGATCATTTTGTAAAGATTGATATCCATCATTTTCTTTTGATGATAATAAAATATAGCTTACTTGTAATTTCGAAGCTACTGGAGGTAAAAATAATTAATTTCTATATATTATCTTGAATGTTTCAATTAACTCTTAAATGTTTCAGCTAAGATAATTATATTACGTGGTAGAGCCACGTTGCACCATGCTAGTTATATGTAGCTGCAGCACGAATGGGTTGGCTCAAACGGGGCAGCACCACGCCCTCACAGAATACCAGCGTGATACAGCAGAATAAAGCTGTTGCTTCATATAATTAGTGGAGAGAACCGGAGCCTCTTTTTATTGCTAACGAGGCATTCCATCTTAGTCCTTAGGTCTGAATGTGATGTATGTGTAGATGTCTATGGGCCATATCATCCACTTACCATCAGGCGGACTATGTGCTCGTTCGTGTCCGTTATTCTTTAAAAATAATTAAAACACTGATTTCTATTAAATATCTAGTAATACTTATTAGATATATTATCTCCGTATCTATATAAGCGACAGTAGCGTAAACTTAAAAATCAATCTTGAAACCCCTCCTGTAATCCTATATTACCGCCACTTGACTACTGTAGTGAAGTATTTCTAACACACGCATTTTTAGTTTACTTGAAACATTAAGTAAATAATTACATTATTAGATATAATTTGTACTTTTGATTGTTGTCACTTGGGAAAACTACAGTTTATTTTTTATGATTTAGATAAACACTTCTACAAGTTTCACAATATTTCTTTTAATTTATTTTTATATTAATTATCAGGGTGATATATGATACCATGAGGTGAAACCTGTCGGTTTTTATAATTAGCATAATAATAATATTTTTTAATAATAATTTAAAATAAATATTGTGAAACTAGTACACATGTTACACATGTCACAAAAACGTTATTAGAATTTAAAACAAGTCGTAAAATTAAAAATGTTGTACAACCGACTTCAATATAAATAAAATGAGAACATTATCAATGTAGTCGGAATCAATTAAACACGCATTATTAAGAATAGCTCAAGAACTACTGGTCAGATCTTGATCAATAGATATATAGTAGATGGTGTTCTCTGATTACTAAGATAAACGTATAATTCCCAGTTCAGCAATTCGAAACTCTTCTACGACAACAAAACGCTAAATATGTGATACGGTGATGATGATCATCGTCATCATTACAGCCCTTCACCACCCACGAGTCCACCGCTAAACATAGACCTCCCCGAAAGAATGCCACAAAGCACGGTCCTGAGCCACCTGCATCCATTGATTTCCTACATTTCTTGCCAGGTCGTCACTCCATGTAGTGAGGGTCACCCTACACTTCACCTACCGGTACGAGGCTGCCACTCGAGAACCTTTCTTCCCCATCGATTGTCGGTTCTTCGAGCTAATGGCCGGCCCGTTGCCACTTTAGCTTGCGGATATCCTCATTTTCAAGTCTATCACGCAGAGAAAGCCCAAGCATAGCCCTCTCCATAACTCTCTGAGCGACCTTGAGCTTCCTCACACGGCCAGCAATGAAGATTATTATTATTATACATTTTAATATATTAGATAGTTTGCTTGTTTCAATATGCCCTACGGGTATAGCAATGGCCTCAACTCCTTTCAATTTTCGGAATTATCTGCTCACCACTTCTCCTGCACATTCTTAGAATCAATTGTAAATGCTTCTTTCAAAAAGCTGTCCAAGTCGATAATGTTATTATTATATTAATTATGGTTTTAAAACAAATAACTTAACTGTTACTTATTTTTAGGTTTGGGACAACGAACTAGCGACAAAAGCGGCGAAATGGGCGTCCAGAGAACAGTTTTTACATAATCCAGATAAAAATATAGGTAACCAATGTCATAATATAAGTACATACGTAGAGCGGAGAACGCACAAATTTCGTTACTCATTTTAAAATATACTAAAATCGTACTTATGTAGTTATTTAAGATAACCTATACTATAAAAAGAAACACTGAGCAAGTATGACTTCAAGGTTCGAATCACGCACAGAAAAGTATTTAAATTTCTAGGCACCGCATTTCTGAGAAATTAGAAAATTTAGCATTAGGCATTAGTAATGCGGCGGACTTACAGCCTCATTACTCTCCCAAATATTAAAAGAAGTCTGTATCAAGCTGTGGGACCTATATAGGCTGTATCTTTGCATAATATTTATTTTGGCGTAAACTTTTTATTCAATGGTCATGCCATCCTTCTTCATTCAAAGGAAAAACAGTGTTATTGGTTTAATAAATTAACAAAATGTTAAAAACATTTATCAATAATAAATAACTTTGCTGGAATTGTCCACGACGACGATTATTAGCATACAACATCGTTTATTCACAACTTTTTGTAATATTATTAATTATAGCACAGTAACATAATATGATATTTAAGTATCATTACCTACCTACTATTTACCATTAACATCTACAGCGTTCATTTAAGCACTCTAAAAATAAATTAGCGCTTGGAAAAGGTTTACGACAGTACAGAAATAGCAACTAGAAATAGCATTAAGAAAAAGCCACATTATCTTGTATTGACGCTACAACTACAAAGTAAATATATTAAAAAAAAAAACTATTTAATGTGGTCAATCGCCCCTGTTTTTAAGAGATGGATGGCACTTTTAAATAAAATATTGATACTAGAATTATATATTTCGAAAATTTTAAAATATGCACATCCTGTTATTAAGAATAATATAGGATTCAATATCAGAAACACAGAAAATATAGTTGTCCTCGTGCTTTTAGTACTGTATCACTACCATGCGACAGTCTTACTGGTCTTACTAATGGTTCCAATAGATAACGTAGGTAAGTTAAACTGTCGGATGTACCTGTGTCAAGACCAGATAATCAATCATTTATATCACTGGCATCGTTTTCAGTCCACAGCTAGATCTTTCAAGAATGCGTAAACATATAATGGAGTTGAATTTCGCCATTTGATAAAATTTCTCACATATCATGCACATGTCTTTCAGGGCATGTACCATTATATTCAGGCCAAAATGCAGATTTTAACGAAAGGTATAAAGTGTTTTAAATTTTTTTTAGGCTCAGGCAGATTTGAAACAGGTGAAAACCTCTATTCGTACGGCACAACTGATAGTAAACACAAAATTGATATAGATGACAGCCTTAAATCGTGGTTCGACGAACATCAACACTATACTTATGGGCCACTAAGTATAAGCGATTTTGACGGCTCGTCGAAATATCAAATTGGTCACTACACTCAGGTGGGTATTTTTTTTGTCAAGGAATATAACTTCCAGTCGTGAAATATGTTTTTTTAAACAACACAACGTAAAAACAAAGCTGGAAAAAGGTTTATATTTACATGAAGTTCTTTTTGGAATAACGGTGACAAACAAGCACACAGTCCTTTTGATGTTAAGTGGATGCTGTGGTCCGTAGACATCCACACTTATCCTCGAATAATAAGCAAAATATAGATGCGTTGTCAACCCTGAGGACTATGAGATGAAATGCCTCGTTTCCATTCACCATACGAAACACAGCAGCATTCAGCTGATATTTTACGCTGGCATTCCGTGAGGGCGTAGTCCTTTCCTAGTTGAGCCGGCTCATTCGTGTTCAGCCATAATATCTTCACCGGTACCCATCATCTTCATTATCATAATTATCGTATATTAGTATTTATACTTACTTAAATTGATAATTGTATACTTTTAAGAGGATAGAATCTACGTTGCTCGTTATTTATGGAATTTTAAAGTGAGCACCATACCCTTGGCTCTTGGCAGAATATAATTAAAAATATATTCAAGTTTATGTGAATGAATTATTATCATTAAATCAATGAAAACAGACAATTTGAAACAAATGCCCTAAGATAAATGACGATGTTTGTTTATGTTGTTCTATTTGTTCTCATTTAAAAATGCTCGTTTGCCCCCTCTCCTATAAAAAAAACATCGTCTATATGATTATCTTGATATTTTATATGATTATTATGATATTTTATATTATTAAATAAGTTGTTGGAAAATGAGTATTATGAACTTATGACAGGAGAGGCAAGTATGAGAACAAAATACGGAATATTACATTACCATATAAAAGTGCTGGATGTCCATGGATTTAGGTGGCTTAGAACTGTGTTTTGGCATAACTTGGGGTGGGACCAAGTTCAACAGTTGACTTGTCTTGGACTGTAGTGATGATGATGATGATGATGATCAGTCCCTTTACAATAATAATATATTAAAAACGCATCACACTTTGTATCTATTTTGTATTGTTAGGATGTTGAGAGACAATTGCTAACTTTTCGCCTCGCGCCTTTGTACTTTTACCTACATATATACGAGTATCGACTACAGCATGTTCACCTTTAATTAATTAACTGCGCTAAACGAATTATTATTTGTGTTTAATAATAATATGTTATAATATTATATTGTATCTTATATTGAAATTATAGCTGATTATTATTTTCAGATGGTATGGGCTGATACAACGTACATTGGGTGTGCGATATCACAGTACTGGCAGGCAAACTTAAAAAAGTTTCTCATAGTTTGCAATTATGGTCCTAGGTGCGTATCTTTTAGTAATAGTGATTGCAAGCCCCTCCTTTATTTTGGATCCTTGCGATATTCTTCGATATCCATATCTCAATCAAAGCCTATAAAATACTGTCTTAATAAGAACGATCACCGAAATTCGAAAATCATCGTCATCAGGCCATGAACGTAGGCCTCCCCCAAAGACTTATTGGTCTACAAGTATAAAAAGGCTGGCAAAGTAGCAAAAGGTTGGCATTTTTTATTTGTTACTAGCTGTTCCCCGCGACTTAGCCCGCGTGTTTTTTGGGGTTTTCATTTTTTGCGCGGAACCCTAATTCTTTTTCTATAATAAAAGTAGCCTAAGTTACTCCTTGTGACATTAGCTATCTGCCAGTGAAAATTCTGTCAAAATCAATCTAGCCGTTTCGGAGATTAGTTGGAACAAACAGACAGACAGACGGACAGACAGACAGACAAAAACTTTAAAAATACGGTAATTTAACTTAATCAACTTTAACTTAATAATACTTTCATATGCATTTAGTAAAAAGCTGTAATTTTGATATTACAAACGGACACTTCACCGATCGATCACTTGCTTAAACAAAACAAAGCAATCTTTTGTAACTTTGAATTTAAGGTTGGCTGCGCATTATAAGAAATTTTCTGTCAAAAAATTGCACGTACATTTGTGCTAGACCCCGCAAGTTTAATTTGCCAGAATGTCGCAAGGCGCGCTCTACATTTTGTACTAGACGCAGCACACCGTCACAAATTCCGAGAGTGTAGCCCTGTGATGCAGACGTATTGGGAGGATAAGATTGACAAACATTGTCGAATTATTATTTGAACTAAGGAGGTGAAGAAATATAAATGACTATGGAATATCGGTGATATATAGGATTGCCGGAACAAAATATCTAATATTGTTTGGGGTGTGTATTGTCTGACAAAATCTAGACAAAAATTTTGTCTGTCTGTCTGCCTGCCTGTCTGTCTGTTTGTTCCGGCTAATCTCCGTAATGGCAGGAATGATTTTGACGGGAGTTTCACTGACAGATAGCTGATATTATAAGGAGTAACTTAGGATACTTTTATTTTAGAAATTGAATTAGGGTCCCGCGTAAAAAAATTAAGCCCATGAAATCGTAGTAAATTCCACGCGCGCAAAGTCGCGAGAGACGCTAGTCTTTTATAAAATGTGCGGTTGGCTAAATGAGATTCAGGTTTCTTTTTAAAATACGAAATTCTTGAGTTCAGTTTCTTGATCATGTGGTTTATTCCAAAACATATGGTAAACGTTTTTTAATGTTACACTAATTTTATTTTAATGCTTATGTAATTTACTTTAATCTAAAATTAATGTCTTTTGCCTAAATTATTTAAGATTTTTGTTCTTCATTAATATTTTATAATTATATAGATTAATAAACGTAGTAGACGTTTCGCACATATAATGCTGTGCTAAGTTGCCCATCGCTAGTTTCAGTATTTCACGTTTGACATAAATGAAATAGCTATACCGCAATCTATCGGATGCGAAGAGATCATTCTGGCGTTTCCCATAGGATACCCCCGGGACCAATGGGCTCATGTATTTGTCTTATGCCGCCGCCACACGGCTACTAAAAGATCTACTTGAAAGTTAATGATACTTCACGCAATAATGTCGACAATGCCGCAGTGATACTAAATATTCGAAAAAAAAAATCAAAATTCAAAAATCTTTATTTCTACAAAAAATATTACAATAAATGTTTCATCGAATCCATAGGCACGCAAAGTACTGTAAACCGTGTTTCAGGAGCCAGTGGCTTCTAATTGTTATATATTATACAAATATAATTTTTTACGAAACATTAATCACAATTTATTTTCAGCGGAAACTACATAGGCGAGACGCCGTATAAAATCGGCCGAAATACGAGTAATTTCCTCAAATGTGGCACCGAAGACTGCAGTCGTCCTTACGGCGACAAATGTTGATATTTACCATCGCTACATTCCATGTTTAATGTTTATTGTTTTACATAACTAAGTATTTATCAAATATTGTAATTTTACTGACTGCGTATGTTTTTTGTGTTTGTCATAACTATTTTATCTTCGTTGGTTAGTACATGTTGTTAATATAAATAGCTACAATAACAAGCCATTAATTAAAACAGTAATTAAAAAACCCGACTGCGTTAAATACTTTACTGAAAAAAACCTTTCCATCCCTTTTTCTTGTATTTGTGCTACGCGGCAGCTTTTGCTATTGCACGTATGGGCCGGCTCAAGCCGGGTTGGTACCACGACCTCTGGTGGTCTGGTGAGTGCAGGTGGTCGGCGGCCCAAATCACCCCCCCCCCATCAATATGGTAGCGGAGTTAAATGCAAGACTACCCCAGGAGGGTACCAGCACACCTGGAGAACCTCCCGCTGAGCATTCACAACCAAGCTATTCCACTTCACCATCCACGCGGTGCAGGTGTCCTCTCCTGCTGATATTTCGTATCTTTCCTACCCGGGGTATAAATTAGAACACTCCTGTGGGCCTTGGGCTGGAGTTTGCGTATACGTCAGAAAGGACATCTGTTCTAGACGCATCGGCAGTCTTAAAGGTTCGGACCTGCCTATCCTCTGGCTACGCGTAGACAGTGACGACCATCCACGCGTCTCCGGGTGCCTCCATAGGTCCCATAACGGTAATGCCGAAACAGACCGACTCATCGACCACGTCCAAATGGCTACAGATTCCTTGCAACAACAGGTCCCATCCGCAGAGATCGTGATCCTTGGCGATTAACGCCCACCATACCGAGTGGCTCGGTTTTTTTTAATAGGATAAGGGTGGCAAACGAGCACACAGTCCACCTGATGGTAAGTGTTTGCTGTGGCCCATAGACATCTACATCTATCTTCGATTAAGTATCAAAATGCAGATGCGTTGTCACCCGTGAGGACTAAGATGGAATGCCTCGTTTCCAGTAAAAGGGTCTCCGGTTCTCTACACTCATCATACGAAACACAGCAGAAATATGTAACATGTCATGAAAATTCTCTTTCTGCACTAATTTTATAAGAAAAATAGAGGTATCAGTGAAATAAAACGTATCCATGCTTTTGTATGGCCTGGTAAGAGTGTAAATTATAAAAATGGAAGCCGCGGGTCGACAAGAAAGTGATTACAGTCAGGTAATTGAGACTCTTATTGAAACCTTTGGAGAAATGGTAAGCGAAGATGTGGTACACGCAGTTGTCGAAAATTGTGGTGGTAATTTGAATGAATCTACCAACGCAATTATGAGTTTGACACATGATAGTAAAACCCATGTATTATCAAGCAACACAAAACATAATAGCAATATTGAACAGCACCCAAATTTGAATATGGATGGTAATAGTATGAAGGATATGGGAGAAATTTCGGAAATGAAATGTTATAGTGAAACTATAAATAAATATGAGGTTGCTGATAAACAGAACAGAATTAAGAAATCATCAAATTTAACGACTGAAGCTGATGTTCAACCTTCAATAAGTTATGCTAGAGCATCACAAGATGAGGCTCTACAAGCAGAAAAACGTAAACAATCGCGAAGCACGGGTTTCTACCGTCTGGAGTCGCTAGAGCTAAAAATTGCCCCATATTTTCGCAAGTACCGACAAGTTCCGGCAATAAGACGTTCAACGCGTATTTTCAAATTGAAGCAGCTGATTTCCCAATATGATGCCTCCTGAAATGTCCTGTCCAATAATCTCCCCAATAACAACTCTCTTCCACCACTTGCTACGCCACTGAGTGTGCACTTTTGTTTATAGAATGAATATATAAGATTGTGATAAAAGAGGAATGGCGATAAGTAATGATGAAGTCAGCTACACTTTAAACAATGGTTAAAAAATTGATTTGTTCGCTTTATTTCCTGAGCATGAATTACGCATATATAAAGTTATTATGAATGGTTTTGCTTGATTATAGTTCGTCGTATTTTTAAATAAATATTTCTTTTTATATTCGAGCTATGGCTTGAATTTGAAATTATTAAAAAAATATATATTAAGGGCTGCACAAACGTGGACACTTTTTGCTATCAACACGGCACACCATCACAGGAAACCGTAGTTGCTGACGGCTTAAACTTTCCAGTTACTACACCGAACTCTTTTTGATTGGCGGTCGGTATGTGTTAGGTGAAAGCAACTGAATACAAAAAGTATCTGCGTCTGCGCAAAGAATGGCTGATTTCATATTGATTACATGAAAATAAAATATTCATTGGTAGCTTGTGTCCCACACAAGACACAGAAGTGTCTAGGTTAGCGCAGCGCCTGAGGTAAACTGGTTGAGGTAGTATTTTCTTGTATTTATTTATGAAATCAAATTACTGTTTTTTTTAAAGATGCAATTGGGAGGATATTTGCCATAGTAGTCACGTTTGACGGGCGGGATGACATCCTCAGTTTTTTTTAATTTGTGTTGATATCAGGAAGATGCAGCTGCTCATATCCTGTTTTAGTTTTTCTCTGCCAACTCTTACGATTACAACACGGCAAACGTATTGTTTATAAGCTTGTAATAATTGTATATCACCTCGTTGTCACTAACCCTAAATACCTACGGCGATGGCTTGATACTCATCAGCGCACAAGTCAATATAGGTAGTTCTTTTTAAAACCAGATCTAATAAAAAGTAAGTATTTAATTGCGAGCACTGCACGTACAAATCTCAGTCACCGTTTTACTGGCGTTCATTAGACATCGTTTGACAATAAATAACAATGAGTCTTAAACTGCTCTTTCTATTCGTTTTTTGCGGCGTATCGCAGTCCAAATGTAAGAAACAGTTCACACTATCGTTGTGTTCTTAACGAAATGTTTTTGTTTCAATTATTTTGTTGTTTTTGACGTTTCAGTGATAAATTTGTCGTGTAACCAAATTCGTGCCTTTGTTGATGGACATAACTCTCGAAGACTACAGTTAGCAAAAGGAGAAGTGTCTGGGCAACCCGCTGCTTCGGATATGAAATTTATGGTCAGTCTGTTTTCTGCCGACTTCCAAAAAGGAGACGGTACTCAATTCGACTGTATGTTTTTTTATGTGTGTTACCTCATAACTTTTTACTGGGTGAACCGTTTCGATGATTCTTTTTTTATTTGAATGCTGATACTTGATCAAGGTCAAACCAATAGTTTTTGAGTTATTGTTAATAACTTATATTGAAGTCGGCTGTACAAAATTTTTAAATTTAAATTATCATTTTAATGTTTTTATCATACATTTTTAAATTGATTTTGATCATTTTGTAAAGATTGATATCCATCATTTTCTTTTGATGATAATAAAATATAGCTTACTTGTAATTTCGAAGCTACTGGAGGTAAAAATAATTAATTTCTATATATTATCTTGAATGTTTCAATTAACTCTTAAATGTTTCAGCTAAGATAATTATATTACGTGGTAGAGCCACGTTGCACCATGCTAGTTATATGTAGCTGCAGCACGAATGGGTTGGCTCAAACGGGGCAGCACCACGCCCTCACAGAATACCAGCGTGATACAGCAGAATAAAGCTGTTGTTTCATATAATTAGTGGAGAGAACCGGAGCCTCTTTTTATTGCTAACGAGGCATTCCATCTTAGTCCTTAGGTCTGAATGTGATGTATGTGTAGATGTCAATGAGCCATATCATCCACTTACCATCAGGCGGACTATGTGCTCGTTCGTGTCCGTTATTCTTTAAAAATAATTGAAACACTGATTTCTATTAAATATCTAGTAATACTTATTAGATATATTATCTCCGTATCTATATAAGCGACAGTAGCGTAAACTTAAAAATCAATCTTGAAACCCCTCCTGTAATCCTATATTACCGCCACTTGACTACTGTAGTGAAGTATTTCTAACACACGCATTTTTAGTTTACTTGAAACATTAAGTAAATAATTACATTATTAGATATAATTTGTACTTTTGATTGTTGTCACTTGGGAAAACTACAGTTTATTTTTTGTGATTTAGATAAACACTTCTACAAGTTTCACAATATTTCTTTTAATTTATTTTTATATTAATTATCAGGGTGATATATGATACCATGAGGTGAAACCTGTCGGTTTTTATAATTAGCATAATAATAATATTTTTTAATAATAATTTAAAATAAATATTGTGAAACTAGTACACATGTTACACATGTCACAAAAACGTTATTAGAATTTAAAACAAGTCGTAAAATTAAAAATGTTGTACAACCGACTTCAATATAAATAAAATGAGAACATTATCAATGTAGTCGGAATCAATTAAACACGCATTATTAAGAATAGCTCAAGAACTACTGGTCAGATCTTGATCAATAGATATATAGTAGATGGTGTTCTCTGATTACTAAGATAAACGTATAATTCCCAGTTCAGCAATTCGAAACTCTTCTACGACAACAAAACGCTAAATATGTGATACGGTGATGATGATCATCGTCATCATTACAGCCCTTCACCACCCACGAGTCCACCGCTAAACATAGACCTCCCCGAAAGAATGCCACAAAGCACGGTCCTGAGCCACCTGCATCCATTGATTTCCTACATTTCTTGCCAGGTCGTCACTCCATGTAGTGAGGGTCACCCTACACTTCACCTACCGGTACGAGGCTGCCACTCGAGAACCTTTCTTCCCCATCGATTGTCGGTTCTTCGAGCTAATGGCCGGCCCGTTGCCACTTTAGCTTGCGGATATCCTCATTTTCAAGTCTATCACGCAGAGAAAGCCCAAGCATAGCCCTCTCCATAACTCTCTGAGCGACCTTGAGCTTCCTCACACGGCCAGCAATGAAGATTATTATTATTATACATTTTAATATATTAGATAGTTTGCTTGTTTCAATATGTCCTACGGGTATAGCAATGGCCTCAACTCCTTTCAATTTTCGGAATTATCTGCTCACCACTTCTCCTGCACATTCTTAGAATCAATTGTAAATGCTTCTT